GTGATTGTCAGAAGTAAATGACAGTTGAAACTTTAATTACACAGAATCACACGTCCTCAAGTTTTCTTGTATATAAACCCTTACCTAGTCTTGTATGGAGGAGAGTGTGACAACAAAGAGAAAAGGCTGGAGTGATTAAGGGCTAAAGGCAAGTTAGACTAGCCATGGTAAGGCCTCCTTGCTGCGATGAGGTCGGAATCAAGAAGGGTCCTTGGACACCTGAAGAAGACGCTGTCTTGATCTCCTACATTCAAGAACATGGCCCTCGCAACTGGAGATCAGTACCTATACACACCGGTTACTTCTCATCAAATGTTGCATAATTTCCTTCACATATTTTGTTGTTTCTTGATCGTACTTCGTAAATTCCATCATCTTTAATTCTTCAGGATTGATGAGATGCAGCAAGAGCTGCAGGTTGAGATGGACGAACTACCTAAGGCCAGGGATCAAGAGAGGTAACTTCACCCCGCATGAAGAAAAGATGATCATCCATCTTCAAACTTTATTGGGTAACAGGTACTTAATTTTGTCTCTGTTCCCATCCTCAATACTGTCTCAACTTATGAAGCATCACATTTTTTCACAAAGAAACAAAACTTTAACAACTCGGGGATTTTGTCAGTAAAATATCTATAGCACGTACCCTTGAGCTTTGTCAGTAAAATATCTAAGTACAAGATCCAAATGAATAGTAACAAGATTGAGAAAGTAGAGTAGTTTGTTTCTCCAAGCAACCTCAGTTCCGAATCCTCCTTGCTGCTTCACGAGTACAAATTTCATGGACTGAAATGTGGACTCATTTGGAGGCATCTTTTTTTTTTTTAAATACCCGAAATCTAGACTGCTCCGATATCAACTCAAAGGTCTTTGCCGCTGTTAAAAAACTCAGAAATTGTGAGTGGCTAATGCTTATAATTTTATATTCTACCAGAGACATATTGTAATAATAAATTATTTGTCCTCAAGTTTTGTTATTTTGTCTCTCTAGATGGGCAGCAATAGCATCCTACCTCCCTCAGAGGACAGACAATGACATTAAAAACTACTGGAACACTCACCTCAAGAAAAAGATAATGAAGTATCGGACAACCATTGATAGTTACATGACTCCATCTGATACTACAACCATTCATCAAGCGGTTCCTTCGTTCCTCCATGCATCCTCTACTTACGCATCAAGCACCGAAAACATCTCAAGGCTCCTGAAAGATTGGATGACACCAGTCGCAGATTCGAATGGTGCCAATGGTACTAGTGCTGGTGCTTGTACCGGCACTATCCTAAAACAAGAAGCACAAGAAAACATGACAGTTGGTAACAACTATGACCACAGTGCCTGCAATGTGGCTCTAAGCCCACAAGAACAACTTGATTCACTGCTCTCGTTTGAAGACTGGGATAATTCTTCAGCTGATGCGGCGTTTGATGAATCTAACCAGAGTATCGAAAGCAATGAGGGTTCACTGTCGCTGTTCGAGACTTGGCTTCTTGATGAGACCGCAGAGAAGATGCAGGGTCGTCTCATAGAGGATTGGCAGCAGCAGTATTAATATCAAGAAAATGAAATATTGGCTTCAATGAACATATGTAAAATATTATATAAGCTGTGGAGATCCAAGTATTGTTATTTTTTTAATTTTAGTGAGAAACTAGTTTGATGTTAGAGGGAAGGGAATCAGGAAAACAGACAAGAGGTTAGATTATGGAGTTCTACAAGTAATTATGCTCAATCAGATGATATTTTGGATTCCATGATTGTACGAGCAAGAAACATGAAGTTAGTTGTCATGTTTAAGTCCATAGTTCATGTCATGAGTTAAAATGTTTGTACGTGGAAGAAAAACTTCATTCATGCTACTGAGACAAAAACCCTTCCTGTGATTGAATACCTTGAAATGTCAGGATTGTTGCGTTGAAGGGTATTCCAAAAATTTCATCTATTTCCAAAAGAAAATAAAAGAACCTTTGTTTGTCAAGGTCCTGTAACTACATCAAAACAGTGAAGTTATAATGATGGTTGAATATTGTAATTTTATACTCCAATATATCCTCACATATGCAGAACCCTTTTTATGGGCCAAAGCACACTTATCTTTTTTTTAATCCATTTTATAAATTCATGATCCATAAGACTCCTGACCTAAGTTACTATTATTATATCATGTTAAAGGTCTCTGTCACAAAGTTGTGGTGAATATTAAGTGTTATAATTATATATGCCGGTTTATTTATCACTTGCTTAAGTGCTTAATTAGAAGGTATATTATTATCCAACAAAATCTATATGAAATATAACTATGTTGTAATCCTATACATTTGACACGTAAAGTAGAAAAACTCATCTTTAATTAGAATAATTTATAAATGACTTTATCTTTCTGTAATATTTTTTTGGATAGCAGGTTTCTAATAGGTTTCCTAATTTGTTTTGATAACATGTTATTGAGATTCCTAATCTGTTTTATTAATAGGATTCTAAATCTATTTTGGTAACAGGTTATTAGGATTCCTAATATGTTTTGTTTTTTGGTTTTAGAATTCCTAATATGTTTTTGATTTTAGAATTTCTATATATATGAAACGGTTTTAAAAAAAAAGTTAAAAAGGGGTTTGTTTTGTGCACAGAAAAGAAAATATTCTGAGCAATTTAGTTAGGGTTTTGTTTAAGAGTTTTGAGAGATTTGTTTGAGAGATTTTGAGTAAATTTATAATCTCTATTTGTACTCTCTTCTCTATTACTGAAAACTCATCCCTTTCTTGCCTCTTGGACGTAGGCAACTTGTCGAACCACGTAAAATTCGTTTGTTTGTATTTGTGTCGTTATTTTAATTGTGTTTGGCCTTTTCTCTTAGCGTTCGTGTTAGCCCTCGGAACCCCAACAAGTGGTATCAAAGCTTCAGGCTACGCTTGAGATTAGGTGGAGGAGTAGATCGCTTTGGAAGCTAATCTAGAATTTTAGTTGGTGATAAATGTAGGATTTTTACTATTGTAGATCTTGTCTTCCATCGTGTGGGGGTGAGATCTTTCAGAGGGTCTTGGTAGGATTTCAGTTGGAGGTAAAAATCTATCTTTTTTAGTTTGGATCTATTCTTCAGTTGTTCTGTATTGGTTTGTTGATGCTTTGAGAATGATGGCCAAGAAAGAAGAACTTGTGGAGGGTACTTCTGGCGTGAAGACCGTCCAATGTTTGAATATTTACTCTATGAAGATAGATGTTATGAAATTTAACGGCACTAATAATTTTGGTCTTTGGAGATATGAAGTCTTGGATGCGCTCAACACGCAAAATTTAGAGGATACTTTAAAGTTATACGGGAAACCGGACGATGTTGAGGAAAAGGTTTGGAAGAAGATGAATCGAACGGTGTGTGGTGTGATTAGGTCTTATCTAACACAAGATTTAAAATATGATGTGATCAATGAGACTTCGGCAAAAAAGATTTGGGAGATCCTAGAAGGTAAGTATTTGACAAAGAGTGTGAAAAACCGCTTACATTTGAAGAGGAGGCTTTATCACTTTTAATTGAAGAAGGAAACATCCATTGGTAATCACATGAACCAATACACGAAGCTTCTTATAGATTAGACGAATGTAGATGTTATGATTGAAGATGAGGACAATGCGTTGTTGTTGTTGAGTTCCTTGCCTGACAGGGAATATGAGACCTTTGTTCTTAACCTAATTAATGGGAAAGCATCTCTTTCGTATAGTGAGGTCACCGCTGCACTTGTGAATTATCAGCTTCGAAAGAAGGATAAGAAGACTTCGATTGATACAGTACCGGGGGTATTGGTCGCAAGAGGAAAGAGTCAAAACCAAAGTAGGAGATCGTAGTCTAGAGGATCACATCCTTTAGTTGGTAGGAATCAATGTGTTTTTTGCAAAAAAGATGGACATTGAAAGTCTGAATGCCCAATGTTGAAAGATCGAGCCCGGAAGAATAAGAGGAAAGCTATACAAGCTTCAGAGGTGAATGTTGTTAAGGCTAGTGGTGACAATTCAGATTCGGATTCTTCATGCTACTCGCTCCCTATGCTACCATCAGTTTGTATTGCTGACTCTATGGAGTGGATGTTGAATTCGGGTGCTTCATACCACATTTGCCCTAGTAGAGATTGATTCTTCAGCTTTGAGGAGTTAGAAAGAGGGGATGTCGTACTCATAGATAATGATCATGAATGCCCTATTGGTGATGTTGATATAGTTCGGATCAGGATGTGTGACGGGTTGACTAGGGAGTTGGAGGAAGTAAGGTTCGCTCTGTAGTTGTCGAAGAACATTATTTCACTTGGAGCTTTGGAGGCAGCAGCCTATAGGGTAATCTTAGAGGATGCATCTCTGAAGGTTACATTGGGGTCCATGATTATAATGAAGGGTGTCACGAAGAATAATTTATACTATTTGATTGGGAGCACGGTGACAGGTGGAGAGCTTACGAATTCTTTTGATTGGGCTAGACTATGGCATTTAAGGTTAGGATATTCGAGTGTTGATACCGTGCATGGATTTGTGAGAGGTACATTGACCTGCAGATTGAAGTCATGTGAACATGTTGGTGTGAGCAAGAAGACCAATGTAGAGTTTGGCACTTCTATTCATCAAGCGAAGGGTCTTCTAGGTGATGTTCACATAGGCATTCCAATGAGGCAACATTGTGAGGTAATATGTATTTGGTTTCATGTGTTAGAGACTGTTCTATGTATTTGTGGGTTGCAACCAAGTCCCGTTGGAGTGAAGTCCTAGTAGTCAACAAAAGTTTGAAGAAGTGTATAGGCAGAAAGGTAATACTTTGTTTTGATTTTGGTAAGAAGTCCAAGAGGGATCCTTTTCTGCATTTGTACCTAGCTCAAGGCAGTTTGAGACACTTTATTAGAAAGAAAACATTAGGGCAACGAGATGATATAGCAGATTTGATTAGTTGTTCCTTGCTGGAGAAGGATCGATGTTTGATGTCAAGCAGTAGTTTGCAGAGGAGTTTTGGTGCTGAGGCTTTGACATATTGGAGCCATCTTATTTACAGGTTGCCGTCTGACGCGATTAGAGTATTTAGATCTGGTGGAGTTGTTTCAGATTTTGGGTTACTTCAGTTATTTGGATGCCCAGCATATTGTCACATTAAGGATGTGAAATTTGGTATGAGTGCACATTTGGGATTCAGATGCGTGTTTGGTTACCAGTTATGGGATTCTGATATTGTTCTAAGCAGTACTATCACATTTGACTCTCAGTAGGTGGAGAGTGTTGGACAGATCATTAGGATTGTTTGCGTTGAAAGTTGATATCTTCATTGCTGAATCCATTACACGTTTATCAATTACAGATTCAAAGTAAAATTAGTCTTTTTATAAGACTTTCTTACACAATGAAAATAAAAAAAATACAACTCTCTTCAAACAAATGCAACGGGTGTTTATCGTCCGCTGCTTGCGTGGGATCTTGGCCTGTGACGGGGACGTTGATATCCGTGGACCACCAAACGATCAGATCAGATCCGGAGCTTCGTTGATTCGAGAAGGAATCAAGAAACCGAAGCAGTTATCTCGGCAACGGCGAGATAACCACTCTTCTTGAGATCACCGCAACGGGACGATCTAAAGGAAGGAACCGAGAAGTGTAGATCTGACGAGCTCCTCTTCTTTATACTGAAGAACTCGATCCGATCTCTCCTCCTCCTCTCTAAAATTCGTGGTTCTTCAGTCCTCAATTGGGCAGGGCTTCGCCGACGCTCGAGAATTCCAGATCCGAAAAAATGAAGGTCCTGGGGCTGTATTTATAGGCTTCAGGAGCCCTGTGTTCGGATTAGAATGGTCGATTCTCTCTTATCTTCAGTTAAAACCACTTAACCATATTATCAGATCAGTTGAAGCAAATCCAGGCAGTTAACGATAAAAAAATCGTCAAAAACAACCAAAATCAGCATTTTCGTGTTGCAGACACTTATGAGTGTCTCGGCATGGCCGAGACACTCAAGAGTGTCTCGGTGAGTGTCTCGGCTTGGTCGAGACACTTGTAAGTGTCTTGGCCAAGCGAAGACAACCCAGGGTGTCTCGGTTTGGTTTTTTTTTGCTTTTGGTGCGTCAAGTTTGTTTCCACCGTATATTCGTCGTTCGGACTCGGAATTACGCGGTTCAAAATGCGTCAGAAAGCCGACAAGGAGATCTATGGGCTCTCATGATTGAATCATATGTGGAGTAAATAGGATACGAGGGATGCTCCGCATTTCGTAAACGATACGGGGCTCCCGATCAGCTCTTGTTTCCGTTATTCCGAAGTTCCGTTGCTTCGTATGATCCGACGACTCACTTCATGCGTTTGTTGCTGTTAAGTAAGCTTCTGTAACTCTAATAGCAATGTTCATCGTCTTCTCCCTATCTCGAGCCACATGCGGGGACCTATGGGTAATTTTTGATGCCTACAGGGATATCACAACGGGTGGAGAGTGATGCTACTTCACGTTGGGTGAAGATTACTCCACATTCCCCAGATCATTCTATATTGTTTAGGATTTCAAACTGAGGTGACACAGATTGGGGATCATATTGATGTGGATGCAAATGATGAGTTTGTTGATTCGGGTGCAGCTGGTGGACACAGTTTGGATTTGGCTATGGTCGTTGGTTCACCTCAGGTGGAGGTATTTGGTTCGTTTCACATTGAGGCCACTGGGAGAGTTATCAGCTGTAGATTTGTTGGTGATGATCGTGAAGGATTAAGAATCCTTCTAGTTGATTGAGTGTCTTTGGAGGCCATTTGGTGAACTACGTGAGGCTTGATTCCTTAGGCAATAGAATGCGTAGGTAGTCATTTTGATGCAGCCGATTGGTGAGTTGATACCGACATTTGGAGTTTGA